TAGACAATGTCACTATGACCCACAATGCACTTTTTCTTGGAATGCACTATTCAGTATGCAGTATTCAGTATTCAAACTTTTTTGAAATAGCTGTATATACTGTAAAATATACTATGTAGCATAATCAAAATGGTTTCCAGCATAATTCACCCATTGAGAGCCTTGTGATTTTGAAATGATTCCCAAAACAATCTATACCAAACACAATTAGACAAAACAATCCACAACCTAGTCTCCCTCACATCAGTTTTAGTGTCAGTCGTCATGCAACATGATGACTGACACTAAAAATGGATGCAAGGGAGACTACCCACAACCAGGCAAATAGTTGAAATTAATTCAGACTGACATGTGTCTTTTATCTAGACTGGCTTCAGGCTCAAGCAGCTACCTTGAAAATTTTTATGGCAGTCAAAAAAAAATTTTTGTATCCTATTTTACAGCTCTATTCAGTGACCACAAACAATAGTTCCTAGCTGAGGCTGGAGTTTCCGCGCATATAGCAAAACTACAGTTTATCATGCGTGGTAACTCCAGCCTCGGCTAGGAACTATTATTTGTGGTCACTAAATGGAGCTGTAAAATGGAGTATTGATTTAACAAAATCACTCAGCTCAAATGACTGACGCCAGTTGAGAAAAAATATAGTTATCATTTGCCTGAGAATTGAGTGATTTATTGCTTGTTTATTTGATCTTTTAGCTATAAACCATCTAAGTATCTGTCAGTACTGATGGTCACAGCTGGTATTGCACTGTGTACTATAGCATCAGCAAGTAAAGGAGTAAGTAACTCTATAGAGTAGTTTTCGTATGACTGTGGCTATGCCTTGTGAGTCCACAACATTTTCACGGCTAGATGACAGCCAAACTAGTAAGAAGTGAGAATTCGATCACGTTTTAATGTGCAAATATTGTATACTTAATACAGACAGGCAATTGATTGTCTATTATWACTGTATCATCACTCTATAATCAAGTATTACTAACTATATAAGCAACTATTGTATTACTGTATTTCTATGCACGTGACATGTATGGTTGCTCCTATTGTTTGGTAACCAAGGTGATGTGATTGTTATTGTAAACAGGAAGCTCATCATAAAGCCACTACTGGGAATCCTTATACWGACTACCTCTGGTGGTGTGTTGGTGGGTGAACACATATATGTATATTACCTTGCATATGCCATAAATCCTCTATTAAGCCCCCACCCCCTAACCCCACCATCTTAGAAGATCAGATCAATCACACAAAAACCGTAAAATAAGAAAAATTATTCAATTGTAGTACTTTAGTTTGAGTTTGAATTTAAAGAAAGTTATTAAATCATATTATATACTGATAGATAGGATACATTGGAGTCAGTTTGCTAAATCCATAAGCCCCGCCCTCTA